CACACACACACACACACACACACACACACACACACACACACACACACCAGTAACAACCTGTTGCCTCCCTGGGGCCAGCCCAGTAGCATTCCATCACCTTCCTGGGGCCTCCCAGATATTCCTACATAGAATTGAGGCCCCTCAGAGAATGCTAAAGTCCTGGCCGTGCTAACTGGGGGAGCATTACTGTTGCTTCATGGGATCCAAATTAGACTTGTTCCCGTGGGAAGGGGAAGTAAAGCACAGATACGAAAGATGGCCAGAGGAACACAGATGCAGCATCTTCCTACCCTGGTTCACCTTACTCAAGTAGTAAACTCAGTCTCTGAAAACTGGAAGGGCTCTGAAAAGAAAACAGAGCCCGTGACAAAATCTCTCCTGCCCCCATCACTGCAAAAAGAGACTTCAGCAATTCTGCCTTGGCCCCCAGAACGCCCTTACTTTTTTCTGTCTTTTTGGGCTTCTTTTCAGGCTGGACGAGGCAGAGAAGAGTGGGAGGGAAGGCAGGGGGCTGGGGCTGGGAGCAGGACTTTAACAAAGAATCACTTCAACAGAGACCACTGAGTAATGGCTTTGCCTAAGCCAAGAATAACATCAGCTCGATGTTGCCAATTAGACTCAGGTCAATCGGGCCCCAGCACTGCTCCGGGCCTCCGCCCGGACCCCAGCATGAGGTGCTACTCATGCTGACGTCACCAGTGGCCACTGTGGCCCAGCAAAGAAGAGTGCTCTTGCACTTGCCTCTCACAGAGGCAGGGAGCCAGGGGCAGAAGGAAGTGGCGGTCAGAGGAGGCTAGCGGGGTGGACACATCAGTCTGTAAGAACCACCCTCCCAGCCCCGTCTCAGGACTCCAGCAAAGCCCCAAGCACCCTGAAGCTTCCTTTACATGAGTTAAGATAGAGGCAGCACCTGGAACAGTGCTTCCTAAGCCGGAGCTGCTGAAGCGACGGACATCGCTACCAAAGCAGCAGGGAGGACTCTGGCCCACTCCTTAGCTCTCGCTTATTCAAAGACATGAACCCCGGAGCTGTGACTAGTGAGCAGAATGTACCCTGATAAGAAGAATGAGCAAGGAGCTGTTCTGATAACTCACTTATGAGAAGGTCATGGGGCTCTGGCTGAGGAAGATAGCAGCGAGATTCCCATGGAAAGGACTGCTTGAAGTTTTATAAGAATGATACTAAGTTTTAAACATACAATTTCCCTTCCAAGGGACAGCAAACAACCAATCACACACACTCACAGAGAGAGAGACAGAGAGAGACAGAGAGAATATACACTTAATTCTTTCTGGATGGATTTCATTGTACGGTCCCTAAGAGAATGGCATTAGCATCCCTTGCGAACTTGTGAGAAAGGAAAGCAATTGAGCCTCCTCCCAAACCTACTTCCAGAAATGGGATGAATGGACATGTGCTCAACTATGTTCATAGCCGCATTGTTTATCATAGCCAGAACCTGGAAACAACCTAAATGCCCCTCGATCGAAGATGGATAAGGAAAATATGGTACATTTACACAATGGAGTACTACACAGCAGAAAAAAATAACGACATCTTGAATTTTTCAGGAAAATGGTTGGAGCTAGAAATCATCATTTTGAGTGAGGTAACCCAGATACAGTAAGACAATTATCACAGGTACTCACGCATAAGTGGGTTTTAAACATAAAGCAAAGAAAAAGAGCCCACAAATCATAATCCCAGAGAACTTAGACAATAATGAAGACACTAAGAAAGACTTACAAAGAGCTAATAGTCTACATGGGAAGTAGAAAAAGACAAGATCTCCTGAGTAAACTGGGAGCATGGGGACCTTGGGGGAGGGTTGGAGGGTAGGGGGAGGGAGGGGAGCAGAGAAAAATGTAGAGCTCAATAAAAATAAATTAAAAAAAAAAGAAATGGGATGAATAAACAATCAGTGTTTTAACTGGCTCTTCTGCCTGCAGGCCAAATCCAGACCGCTGCCAGTTTTGTAAATAGTTTTATCAAAATACAGTCAACAGTCATCCATGCACACATCATGTACGATTGTTTTCACTTTACTGTGGCAGAGCTGAGGAGCCACAACACAGATCCTATGGCTAACAAAGGTTATTTACAGGGGAAGTCTGTCAAACTTGTGCAAAGTTGTGCAAGCTACTGGGTTCAGTCTCTAGGGTATAAAGAAGCCCATACTTCCGTTCTTTCTTTATCATGGATGATATTGTCTCTTATTTCTGTCCCTAAACTTCTGCTAATGGCTTTAAGTGACTTCCTTCTTTCACTCCCAGGTGACACGGTCCATTTTTCTCAGGTGTGAACTTGGCACATGGAAATTTCTAGGTTTGTAAGTGTGAATACAGTGGCGGAGACAAGGAGCACAGCTGATTCTACACAGATGCATGTGTTGGCTCTAAACTGACACCCTAAATCAGAACTTGTCTCCCTGAAATGAACACAGTGGTAACAGGCTGAGTGTCTAAGTGCTCTGACTGAAGGCAGAAAAGGATGGAGGACTTTCTTTGCATGAAATGAAGAAAAGCTATACGGTTATTAAGAGATCATCATAAGAAAGGCGCTATTTATAGAAGGCATTACGACACATCACTGCATGATAATGCACCCGAGCATAAGGTAAATGCAAAGACTCTAACATACCAGTCTCCAAACATCTCGCCTATGGATGCCTGCTTGATAAACCCAACTTTAATTCTACACAAGAATCTTAAAAAGGCAGTTAGCCAAATTGCTAGTTACCTATACTTCAAGAATATGGCTTAAAATCACAGGGTATTCATCAGATAAATACCATCTTCACCCAAAGAATTAGCATGAGGGGAGAGATACAGGTCACACTGAGAATGCAACCCATGCTTCAATCAATCAATAGTTTGGTGGTAATTAAGATGGTCAGGTCTAGCACAGCTAAGCTAAAAATGAAGGCTTGAAATCTAGCAGGACTTTACTTGGAGTGACGAACTATGAGTATCTCCTGAATAGAGTGTTCCAAATCACGAAGCTCAAGTTAGGTACCTAATACCTCATTTACCGTCTTGCTATAAATCTGTTGGTAGGATTTAGTCGCTCCTGCTTCCCTACAACCCTGGGACTTCACCCTTACTCACTTGTACCTAAAGCAGTTGAGGTTTAGAAAAACAAGGGACAGAAACAAAATGATGTATATACATATATAAAACCAAGATGAATGATTTTCTATCCCCTCTCCAGGAGACACAAGATAACTCCCTTCTTGGGAGTTCTGCCTCCTCCCTAAGATGGATATTCTGACAGATCTGAAAAAGCATTTTTCCATATACTTCATAATTCAGTGAAACTAAACTAGGATAATCTTCACTGAAAAAAAATCTACACAAGAAAAGCAGTACTCTGAGTTTTCAAAAGAATGTGTGCTGCTGGAAGCTAATCAAAAGCATGAGAAAGCTCAAAATGAAGCAGTTTTTAAAAGTGAAAATCAGCAAAAAACGGTCTTTCCTCCCCACAAACTTCAATGCACTGTAAACAAATCCTTTTGTTTTGAAAATACTATTTACCATTTTAGTGTGTTAAAATGTGGTTTAAAAGGAACCATGGGCCTGTGAGATGGCTCAGCTGGTAAAGGCAACTGGTTCCAAATCTGGCTACTAGAGTTCGACTCCTGGATCCAACAAAGTGGAAGGAGCAAACCAACTCCCACAAGCTGTCCTCCGACCTATCCATGAGCCCCGAGGCACACACTCACACACTCTATAATTTAAAAAAGGCTTGCCTGTAGTTTTGGTTAAAAAACAGACAAACCCCAAAACCAAAAAGAGAGAGCAATGGGGCCAGAGAATGGCTCAGTGAGTTAAGGTGCCTGCCCCAGGGCCTGTCCGGTAGACTGGATTCCTACAAGCTGCCCTCCATATGCACTGTGCCACATTCATGGGCATGCACACGCACAGATAAACACAGAAAAAAAATTAAAAGGAACCAATGGTATAATTTCAAATGATCTACTATTACACTCATACAGGCCTGTCCTGGTCAGCATCTGGTTTGTTGGCACTGTGGGTAATTAACACGACAGAAGTTTAGAACTCTAAGTAGCTTTAAGAAAAAAAGAGAAAAGGTATGAAATTTTCTCCAGTTTTTTAAAAAAAAATGAACTATTCACAAACGCCTGCACTTGTAATTTCTCAATTGCGATGCAGTAATTGACAAAACACACTGCTGTGGATAAACACAGTCGGGTGAGCGACGAGGCAAAGCACAATGGGCAGTTTGCTCTGGACAACAGTTCTGATGGCTAATGTGGACGGTCAGCTTCATCAGCCAAGACATAAGTGATTAGTATTAGCACACCTTTGCCTATCCTATGGAGGACAGAAATCGGTACATTTGCAAATAAAGATGCTCAAAATACAGCTTTAGGGAACGGGGAATTTGATTAGGAAGCTACTAAGATCATTCAACAGAAAAAGTAAACATGGTAATAAAGGATTTTACAAATTCAAATAAAACCATGTCGAGCACTAGTTCAGCGTCACCTCACAAAGAAGCCAAAGCTACAGGCAGAGAGCAGTATGGAGAAAACCCAGGGCAGGTGGGTGAAAGTTTAGGAAGCAGTCTTTCACGGCCCATTCATCCCCTCGACTATCTCTCCAACAGAAGGAAGACATCCTCTTAGGACTTTCAGGTACCTGATGCCGGGCTCGACTCTGGTCCAGGAGCTGCCGGGACTGAAGTTTCTGTTGTTCAAGTTGCTGGAGGGCAAAATGGAGTTGGTAACTGCCTGCTGTGGGGTGATACTTGTGCTGCGGAACCACCCCTGTGGCCTTGCTGTACGCGTTGTTCTCCACCTCGCCCTCCCAGGCAAAGCCGCCTGTCTGGAGGCTCCTGAAGAGAAGAAGAGTTGGGGTTTTTTTTAGCATGAGTATGTGAACAATCTAAAGGAAAGAGATGTGTGTCTACTATTTTTCCTTTATAGAATCAGGCACCAGCTAGAATAAAGCTACCGTATGATAAACTACCTGACTTCACTAAAGCACACTTTGGTGTATTTTGATCAGTGCTTTGATCTCCCAACTTCTCTCAAATAAAGAGATTCCCAGATATCCAGTTAAAAGTATGTTTGTGTTCATGTGTGAAGGATTTTGTTCCTACAGTCTCACCTTCTGATAGGGATAAGCCATACCCCTTGCTCAGGGATGGGGTGCTCAGTTTGGCTTTCATAGAGACTGCTCAATTCCATGCTATCAGCTAACCTTCTTGGCCAACAGGACCAAAAGACTCAAAAGATTAATTGATTTGGCTTCTGAGAACAATTTCAGCAATTTCTCGGAAAATACTTCAAGGTGTGTATCCATTCTATAGAGCTAACAGAGCAGCTGTCAACCTGTGGTCATGACCCCTGTGAGGCCAAATGACCTAACCCCTTCACAGGGGTCACCCAAGACCATTCTACACACCAGACATTTACATGACTATTACGACAGTAGCAACGAAGAATTCCATGGCTGGAGGTCAGCACAGCAGGAGGAGCATGAGAACTGTTCTTAAAGAGTCAGAGCATTAGGAGGGTTAGGAACCACCAAGCTATCACCTATGATATCATATACATGTATGCATGTACACATAATAAATCTTTCCCAAAGGATTGCTGAACATATGGAGAAATGGGGTGACCACCAATAGAAAAACAAATATAAATACCTACATGAATTAAAGTTAGCCTGATTCACAAGGCAGAAGACTGAGTGAAGTAAGATGGGATTACACAGCAAAGGGAAGAAAACCTTTTGTGTGGTTGTGTGGGGAGGCAGGGAGTGTGTGCGTCTTTATTTATTTATTTAGTGGTGTGTGTGTGTGTGCATGCACACACACAGATGCATGTGCACATGCACTTCTATGTGCGTGGAGGCCAGAGGTCAATACTGAGTGTACTCTTCAGTCACTTTTCAGCTTAATTTGAGACAGGGTCTCTCACTGATGCCAATTCTGCCAGACTGGAGGCCCAGCAAGTCCCCAGAATTCTGTGTCTACCTGCCCTATGCTGGGATGATGAGTGCACTCTGCTGCACTTGGCTTCTTCTGCAGGCCTGAGGATGTGAATGCAGGTCTTCATGCTTGTGCAGAGGAACTCTGCAGACTGAGCCTCGTCCCAGCTCCTGGAGACTCTCTTATCTTTTTTCTCATTAGTGAGGGATGATAAGCTGACAGATGATAAGTGTAAGAAGCTAAGAGGCAATGATTGAGAGGGCTGTGAGTCAAAGGAGTGGAAGGAGTGGCGATGGCGAAAGGCATTCAGGTTTTATTTTATTTTATTTGACTCAAGGTCTTCCAGGCAGGCTTTAAATTTGCAAACCTCTGGACTGCAACCCCTACATGCTGGGAATATAGGTGTGTGGTACCATGGCTTAAAGATGAGAATAGTCAAGGCAGGAATATTTCTCCTTCAGATGAAAACCAAGGGAAGGGACAGGCGGTTGGGCAGAATTTTCTTGAGAGCTTCATGTCAATTAAGCTAGGTCTTGTTTTTAAAGGCGAACATAAAGTTTGGTGGGTACAGAGATAGGGATGGATCTGGGAGGAATTCAGTAGGGGGTGAATATTACCAAAATACAGAGTATCAACCAATGAATGTAGAGAATTAATGAAAATATTGCTTTAAAAATCTCTAAGGGAGAGGAAGTGAACTCCACAGGAGCAGGACTGAGTCAGCAACCTGGACTGGAGCAGGCCTGAGGCAGTGAACTCCACAGGAGCGGAGCAAACACTGGGAGCGCTGAGCGACCTCCAGGAACAGGAGTGACCAAGAGGTGACTGGAACCGTGGCACTGACGGCACCACAAGGACCAACCATCTGAACCTTGGATCTACTGGCACCTGGAGGATTGATCGCCAGAGTCACACACAGTTCCAACTACACCAACTGGAGGAAAAGATGGGTAGACAAGGTAAGAACATACACAACACCACAAAAAAGCAACACGATGCCAGTAAAATCTAGTGACCCTAAAACAGCAAGGCTTGAACAACCAAATTTAGATGAGCAGAAGAAAATGACCTAAAAAATAACTTCAGGAGAATGTTTAAGGCACTTAAAGAGGAAATGAGAAATTCCTTCTAAGAAATGGAGTAAAAGACAGAAAAATTGGAAGACATCAACAAACCCTTTAAAGAAAACCAAGAAAAAGCAATGAAACATATGAAAGAAACTCTTCAAGACTTGAAAACTGAAATAGAGACAATAAAGAAAACACAAACTGAGGGAATTATAGAAACAGAAATAACGAGAAAATGATCAGGAACCACAAATGCAAGCATAAATAGCAAAATACAAGAGACGGAAGAGACAAAAAACTAACAGAGAAATAAGGAACTAACAGATGTTATTACTCAAATGAACTTAACAGACATCTATAGGATACTCCTTCCAAACATAAAATATACCTTCTTCTCAGCACCTCATGGAATCTTCTCAGAAACTGACCACATACTTGGTAACAAAACAAACCTCAACAAATACAAAAAAAACAAAAAAAAAACAAAAAAAAAAACCTGTAATGACCCCAAGTATCTTATCAGATCACTATGGCTTAAAACTAGAATCCAACAGCAACACTGATTCCAGGAAGCCCACAAACACATAGAAATTAAACAATGCTCACCTGAATCATCAATGGATCAAGGAAGAAATAAAGGGAGAAATTAAAGACTTTCTAAAATTCAATGAAAATGATCACACAACATACCCAAATTTATGGGACGCAATGAAAGCAGTGTTAAGATAAAAGTTCATAGCACGAAATGCCTACATAAAGAAGCTGGAAAAATCCAACACTAGTGAATTAACAGAACATTTGAAAACTTTAGAACAAAAGGAGTAAACACACCCAAGAGAACTAGATGGCAGGAAATAATCAAATTGAGAGCTGAAATAACAAAATAGAAACAAAGAAAACAATATAAAGAATCAATGAGACAAAGTTGGTTCTTTGAGAAAAATCAACAAAATAGACAAACTTTTATCCAAACTAACCAAAAGGGAGAGAGAGAATATCCAAACTAACAAAATCAGAAATAAAAACAAGGACGTAACAACAGACACGAAGGAAATACAGAGAATTATTAGGTCATATTTCGAAAACCTGTACTCCACAAAATAGGAACTCTTAAAGGAAATGCACAACTTTCTGGATAAATATCACTTACCAAAATTAAATCAAGACCAGACAAGCAAATTAAATAGACCTACAATTGCTAAAAAAAAAATAAATAAATAAAAAAAATAAAAACAGCCATTAAAATCTCCCACCCACCCCACCACCACCAAAAAAATCCAGGACCAGATGGTTTCAGCTCAGAATTCGACAAGATTTTCAAAGAAGAAATAATATCAATACTCCTCAAATTGTTCCACACAATAAAAACAGAAAGAACATTGGGAAATTCTTTTAATGATGCTACAATTACCCTGATACCCAAATCACATAAAAACATTACTAAGAAAGAGAATTATAGACCAATCTCACTCATGAACATGGATGCAAAAATAATAAATACTGGCAAATCAAATCCAAGAACACATCAGAAACATCATCCACCATGATCAAGTCAGCTTCATTCCAGAGATGCAGGGATGGTTCAATATATGAAAATCTGTCAACATAATCCACCACATAAACAAACTGAAAAATAAAAACCACATGATCATCTCATTAGATGCCAAAAAAGCTTTCAACAAAATACAACATCCCTTTATGATAAACATCTTGGAGAGAGCAGGGATACAAGGAACATACCTAAACATAATAAAGGCAACATACACCAAGCCAACAGCCAACATCAAACTAAATGGAGAGAAACTCATAGCGATCCCACTGAAATCAGGAACAAGACGAGGTTGTCCACTGTCTCCATATGTATTCAATATAGTTCTTGAGGTTCTAGCTAGAGCAATAAGATAACAAAAGGAGATCAAGGGGATACAAATCAGAAAAGAAAAAGTCAAACTCTCACTATTTGCTGATGATAATGATACTTTACATAAGCAACCCCAGAAATACTACCAAGGAACTTCTACAGCTCATAAACACTTTAAGTAATGTAGTGTGGCAGGATACAAGACTAAAAAAAAAAAAATCAGTTGCCCTCCTTTACACAGATGATAAAAGGGTCGAGAAAGAAATCAGAGAAATATTATGCTTCACAATAGCCACAAATAGCATAAAATATCTCAGAGTAACTCTAATCAAACAAGTAGAAGACTTGCATGACAAGAACTTTAAATCTTTGAAGAAAGAAATTGAAGAAGACAACAGAAAGTGGAAAGATCTCCCATGCTCTTGGGTAGGTAGAATTAACATACTAAAAATGGCAATGTTACCAAAAGCAATCTACAGATTGAACTCAATGCCCCTCAAAATCCCAGCAAAATTTTTTACAGACCTCGAAAGAATGGTACTCAACTTCATATGGAAAAGCAAAAACACAGGATAACCAAAACAATCCTATATAATAAAAGAACTTCTGGAGGCATCACAATCCCTGACTTTAAACTCTACTACAGAGCTATAGTACTGAAAACAGCCTGGTACTGGCATAAAAACAGACAGAAGGACAAATGGAACAGAATTGAAGACCCAGATATTAATACACACACCTTCAAACACCTGATTTTTGACAAAGAAGCAAAAAACACCAAATGGAAAAAAGAAAGAATATTTAACAAATGGTGCTGGCATAACTGGATAACAACATGTAGAAGAATGAAAATAGACCCATATCTATCACCATGCACAAAACTCAAGACCAAATGGATCAAAGGCCTCAACATAAAGCCAGCCACACTGAACATCATAGAAGACAAAGTGGGAAGTACATTTAAATGCATT